CAAAAGTCAAACATCAGCCCTGCAGCTGGCCAGCTGTGAATCAGAAGAGCACTTTAGCTCCAAAATGAGATAATGCAAGAACTAAACCTCTATATAGCCTTGAAAATTTCCTGTGAGCAGACTATTTCAAAATGAGCTGGGTTTTGTGTCATACTCCATACTGCACTGAAAAAAAAAACCACAAAAGAAACCAGGTAACAAGAAGGGTACTTTCAACATGCCTAATTAATTTTAAATAGCTGGCATTTCCTAATGTCCCTCCAACCTTAATACATCATAAAATCCAGTATTCCTAATCTCTACTTGTCATTAATGTTTTTACTAGTTGCATTTCCTATTAGTTTTCTACCATTATGTCCCTGCCACAGTTATTTTCAGTTTTGTCATATATTCTCAAATCTTTCCTAGATTACCTGGGCCACCATTCCTCCATCAACATTAATTTATACATCAATTTTACAGCCTTTGCCTACAAATTTTTAAAAGCCATGCTCAATCTTAAAGCTGTGGAAGGAAACAGAAGCAGTGTTGCTCAAATTGCTATTTGAATTTGTAACAAATATTTTTTGTACTAATTAGGTGGCAAGATACAGCTGTCCAATACAGCAAAATAAAATGTACAAGGGGGATCCATATCACTCACTGTTAAGCACAGCAGAAGCCAATAGTGATTTCAGTTATGCCTCAGAACCAACAAAATCTGGTTTCCAATGGACTCATTATTCTCTAACAGAACTCTAATATGCCCAAATCCTTTCATATCATAATTACATAATACCACCAAGCAAGGGATACCGCAAAGTACTTAGAAAACCAGTATGTTTACACCCTAATTTAAAGAGCAACAACAATGCTTTGGTCTTCCCATTCTCCCTCTCCAGGTAATTTTTACACTATGGTCAGACTCCAGGCAAATTGAAATTAAAAAATTCTTAGAGATAACCAGATTCTGACAAATTGTGTAAAAACTCAAATCAGTGTCCCCACAAACATAACTTATCTACCAAATACACTTCCTGGCAGCAACCAGCTGACAGATTATTGTATACAAGAGATGCCAGACTTGCCAAAGCATGTGTCCGGTCTGGAAAGAGTATCACGAGATACATGAGGAGGGAGAGGATTATTGTGTAGGAGACATGGGGGAAGGGCAGGAAGAACAAAGGACACGTTTATTAAAAAAGCAGGCTTCCCAATACTACTACTCATGAAGCTATTGGACTTCTTTCACTTACGAGGGGTTCTGTAAGTATGTAGAAATAGCCACTAAAAAAAAAAAAACATGACTAAGACAATTTGCCTTGAATTACACTAAAAAGCAAGAACAAAAGCAAAAGCAAGAACAAAAATACGTAGGATAAATCACCTGATGTGGTCTACCTTTTAAAATGTTCTGACATGTGGGACTTCATGGTGATTTATGCAACTCCTCAGGTTACAAAAAACTATTAATACAAGTACAGAAAGCCTGTGCTTTATCTCCAACAGAGAACACCTATATTTACAATATTAACAGAACACAGTACATACAACTTTCTATGCTGCTCAGACGCTTACTCTAGCTGCAGGATAATTCCATGTCAAGATTCTGTTTCCTGAGCCCAGCCCCTCTGTCACCTACCCTTATTCAAACACCACTGGGTAAATATTTTAAGAAGGAAAATAACATTGTTACTTCGAACCAACCATATAGAAGAGGAAATGGATGACAAATGCATTATTGCCTGAGCTTTGTAGAAAGCAAATCTTCTTTTGCTTTCTACAAAGAGAATAAAAACAGCAAGTTTCTGTAATGATCACAAGTATTATGTAAATATAGTCAAAAGTGCTCTCTGCAAACACACTACTGTACAGCCTTTTCCTCTGGCAAAAGACTGCCTTCCTTTCTAAATATAAAGCTTGGGTTTATAAACTTTTAGCTTCTATTCAGCAACTCAGAAAACTACCCCTTTCTGCCTTTTTTCCACAACACTACCAGAAAAAGAAGACTGTCAAAGACTCTATATCCTGGCAAAAGGCTACTTTACAGAAAGAGCAGGATTTATTTGCAAGTAAATGGGCCACCACACCGCACTGCTAATTATCACGTCCCACTACTTATTCCATTTAGGAGCCCATTACACAGGACTTAACCTAGGTTTACTAATCTCTCTAGATCACTCTGTCTTGCTAAAGAAATGCTGGCCATATAAACATGATCACCAAGGGGCTGTCTACCACAGTTAGCTTGGTAGACATCACCTAAAAACAAAACAAAGCTTCTTACACAAGTCCTTCATTACCCAGATGACATCATATGGCTTACAAGAGATACCAACAATCACCAACAAATTTTTACTTTAAAGAAGACCATCCTAATTTTATAAAAGTTAACAGTCTTCCTATGCTGCTAATAGCACACAACCATTAAATACAAGGCCAGTAAGTACCTCATTAAGTCTATGAAGCTTTGTTCTGGCATCAAAGGAAAGGCGTATACATATATATGCACATATATGTATCAAACTCAGGTTTGTGTTTGTTTTGGGTTGGTTGGTTATTTTTACTAGAACAAGCTTCAAACATTACTCTGAAACACAACAGGTTCCTGATGCATCACTGCCATTTCTGGCTGCACAGGCCTTGAACTCATCAAAGCAGCAACTCTGGCTGCAATCACCACTTTTTAAGAACTTCTAACCAAGTCCGGTTTTGAATACCTAATGAGAAGAACTCCCATCAACAAATAATTTAATTCTGCTTTCTACTGTTGTGTTTTTATATTTATTCTCACTACAGACTTCCAATAATGTTGTGCCGGTAAATTTATGAACCAGAGAAATACGTTCTCATTTTAAACTATAAAAGCCATGATTTAACACCGTATTATGTATCATCAAACCAAATCTCACCCCATATTTTATAACACTTCTTTGCTCAACAGCATAATCTACTTCCATTAGAAATTCCTGTCACCTAATCCCACTTTTCCCATAATTATTTATTGCAAAGTTTTCTAAATGCTCCTAGAGAAAGTGTCAAAGTATCACCCAAAGACAAAAACGCCTTATTCTAAGCAATGGATAGTAATTACCATGGAGAAAAAGAAGCAATTACAAAAAGGTGGAAAACTGAAGAAGGGAAGTGCTTTGCCAAAGACTATAAAGTGAATCATTAGTAAAACCAGGATTTCAGTCCAAAATCACAGCATCCTAATTCCAATTCCATTAACTTTGCCCTTTTGCTGCTACTACTTTACAGATTTTATTTTTTTCCTCTTTCTCTCCCTGTCTCCAGGGAATCATGACCTAAAAAGTAACTCTGTCTAGCAAAGGGCAACACTGGGTAGTTCCATGCAACAGTTCCATGAGGATGATGCACACACTGGCCAAAAACCTCAGGATGATAAAAACCATCTTGCAAAGCCTGAAACAGGCAGTATTTATGAGTTTTTCCCACAGCAATATATATAATACTACTTGAAGCAGAAATTATCATACAAAAAATATAAACCTAACCGAAAATCAGAAGGAATAAAGCAGCAAAGCAAACAAAAGCACAGACTGAGCATTAAGTCTAGGTTTCCAGATGCAGTTAAGAGGATACTGTCAGCTTGCAAACGTGTCAAGCAGAACTAGAATAATGAGCATTCAAGGCTCGTATTCAACATATATGCACACACTTCAGTTTTAAGCAGAAGCAGTCCCACTGGTTTCTTCATGATATCAAATGCAGGTAAAGTTTTAAAGCATTAACATCTGCAAGACAAGGACTGACGAATCAAAAGACTACACTTCAATACTTTTTCGAAAGTCCATTTCAAAAAGATTTTCAGCTCATTTTAACAGCAGCTACCTTCCAAACAGCAATCAAAAAAAACACCCCAACCATGAAGCCATGAAAGAGGAAGGTACCCAGATTCAGAAAAATTAAATCCATCTCAAAGGCTCACCATGCAATGTGTTGGGCTTTAACCATCAGCGATATGTTTACAATTAATTACAATGAATTCCATGATTCTGTCTCTTCAAAAGTGTTTTCACTTCCTTTCTGTAACACTACACCTAACTAGCTCAAAAATGGTCTCTCCATCATACTCTAAATGAAAGATATGCTACAAAAGCAGCATCCATGCACCCCAACAAACTGGCCCAATCGCTTCATTACTGAGGCAATCCTGCCCGGCCTCACTGTATTTCTGATGAAACTTGAACAATATAATTTTCTTTATAAGTTTTCACTGTGAAAACAGATGCTAAAATGAACATTTCCCTGCAGTGTCTGCAACACTAACACTGCCGCATAATGTCAGTGCGGATCTAAATCCATTGTCCAAACTGACTGAATTTAAAACATTAAGTATCAAGTGGCCAAATAATTAAAAGAATAAATAAATGCATTTTTGTGTCGTCGTCCCCCCCCCCCCCCCCCCCCCCCAGTGCCTTCACTATTTTACAACTGGTCTGGCAACACAGATAAGAGACAACACGCAGATTACAAGACAAAACAGCATTTCAGCCACTTAATGTAATCTTCAGCAAAAGGTGTTACGTGCTTTTCCTGCAACCCTCCCTATACTCGCCACAGAATGACTGTCACAATTTTACAAAACAGTTATGAAATATAAATTTGTATACATGAAGGGGTGAGGGGGGATAAAAACAAAACCAAACCTTGAGGTATGACTCTCTCGGTCCCCACCCTTCACTCCCCACAGCATACCGGCAAACTGCTCTCCATGGAAGATCACTTTTTGCTTTGCTTTCGCCAGCTAAAACCGAGGGCAACTTCCCCTCTCCCTACTGCCACACACCATGTATTTATTCAAAGTTCGCGTATACATACACACATGCACCCACACCTATAGACACCCACGAGCAGGGCATGCGAAGGGAGAAGGATAGCTGACTCCCCCACAGACAGGCGCATCCCTACAAAGGCAAGAAGCGAGGCAACCCAGCCCTCGGGTGCTGCCCACCACACCTCACCCCTTCCTGGCCCTGGCCCCGGCCGCGGCTCACCGGTGGGCGCGCTGTCGAGGATGCGGAGGTCGTAGGCCCCGGAGCAGCGGTAGTTGGCGGCGGTGCCGTTGTCCCACACTACGACCACCTCTTCGGGGCTCTCGAAGCTGCGGACGGTGCCCACATGGCCCTCGCCGCCATCCTGCTTCCCCCACTTCCAGTCCGGGCCCCGGACCACCCGGGCCCCAACTCCCTCCACCATCACCCGGTTGTTCCGCGAGCTGCTCATCCCGGCGACGCCCCACGGGGCCGGGCCCCGGGGCGGCTGGAGGGGGCGCGCAGCCCGCAGGCGGCGGAGAGGGACCCCGATGGGGACGGCTGCTTCGGGCGCGGCGAGGGCTGGCACAGGCCGCGGATGCCGGTGCGGAGAGGGAGGTGGAGGGGCGGCGGGGAAGGAGGCAATCCTGACGCGACGGTGAGCAGCGGGAGGAGGGAAAGGGGCCCAAGGGGCCGTGGGACGCGACCGGGACGGTGGGAGGCTCCGGCTGGCTCTTCTTCTCGCTTCTTTCCTCCCTGTCTACCTACCTATCCCCAGCGCCGCAACACCGTCCCCACGGGGCCGGCCCGCCCGCACCCCACAGCGACAAACCCCCGCCAGCCCCGCTCGCCCGCCGCTACATCCGGGAACTGCGGCCGCGACGGCGGCAGCACCAGGGAGACCGGCAGCCGCCACCAGCGTCCGCCTCCCCGCACCGCGCATGCGTATGTGCCTGACCCGCCGCCTCTGCGCAGCCGCGGGGCCTGGGCGAGGCGGTGCAGCGGTCGGGGGCCCCCTGCAGAGCCGCGGTATGCACTGCCCGGCTGTCCATGCTCATCTGCCGCCGTCGCCGCTGCCCCCTTCCCCGGGCGGATCGCAGGCCTGTGCCGGTGGGAATGGGAGGAAGCAGAGGAGGGAACAGGGGTTTATTTACTCCAGCCCCGAGCTGAGCTGCCCAGAGCTCCTCCGAGTCACCAGTCTGACGGTCCTTCCTAGCCACGTTGAGTGCCCTCGGCGGGGTGCGGCCTCGCCCCGCCCAGCGCTGAGGTGATTTGGGCGGTGGGGGCTAGGCTTCCGAATCGCCCTCTCCATCGAGGAGAAGCTGCTAGTATCGCCTTTATGTTAGTGACAGGGGGATTAGATATAAGGAAGAAGTTCTTAGCTGTGAGGATGTTGAGGCACTAGCACAGGTTGTCCAAAGAAGCTGTGTCTGCCCCATCCCTGTGAGTGTTCAAGGCCAGGCTGGACGGGGCCTTGAGCAACTTGGTCTACTGGAAGGTTTCCGTGAGCATGGCAGGGGGTTGAAACTAGATGAGCTTTAAGGTCCCTTCGAACCCAGACCATTCTATGATTATAAATTCTATCAAATAATTCTTGCACGATCTAGCTTAGGTAAATCTGTATTGCATTTCCCTTGTTTCTAAGTTCCTTCTGTGTCCTGAAATCCTATTTTCTTTTCAAACTGTGGACGTGACTCTTGCATGCTGTTGAGGTGAGCCTAGTGGGGCTGTACTTCTGTAGCCCAGGAGCTTTTTTAGCTGGTATTCAGGTGCTCCAGTCAGCAAAAGGGGGAATTTGTTCCCCCTTCCCACCTTGGGGCATCCCTCAAGGTGGATGTACCTACTCAGACTTTGAGCACATAACCTACCATGGGATTCTTCATAAACTCTGCACTCTTTGTTAGCACTTTTATGACACTAAAGGATTTCCTTTAACTCCACACATCCTGGCTAATCTGATATACAATGTGATTTTTCATTTTTAAAATGGTCCTCCGATTGGTTTTGTCTCTCTCTAATCATGCTCTGTGCCAACTTTTTAAAAGCATCTATCATAAAAGACAAGTCTGAACTAGACAAAAGAATACTGTTTCTTAGTCAACAGAGAAACAGGTGATAAAAGCCCAGTTACCCTTGTGTCCAGGGTATTTTTACAGTCTCTGTGCTTCCTTCCACCTTTGTAGTTATTAATATGGCTAGAAGAGTCTATGATATCACTTCCTGGCTTCTTTTGTGCAGTTTTCTCACAGTATGTATAGCAGATCAAAATAATATGAACATGTAACCACCAGACTACCACCACATTCCTCACATAATTCATTCCTTCCTAACCCATTGTAAGGCTAAAGAATGTTGCCTTAACCATGAAATTGTGTCCTGACAATAGGCACTCCCAAGCAGCATCTGGTTTCTACTTCTGGAGTGGAAACCTCAAAACACTAACAGATACCACCCCAGGAAAGCATGCTATTGTCAGGCAGTTTGGGTTTTCTTACAGATGCTTGTCCCTATACAAAAGCTACCCACAGCTCGTACTAGCTTATTACATTTGGTATATGGCAGAATATCCCAGAAATTCTGGAGAGTCCTTGATCTATTGAAGGATCTAGCTAGGCTCTGTTTATGGTCAAAATGTTCCCTTCTGCCTGGATCTACTTCTTTTGCTTTGACAGTTATAGGCAAGTATAAGGTCCATGCATGTCTAAGGACAAGCTGGAGCACATTTTTCTGTTACTCTTTGATAGGGTTGTGTAAAAAAAGGCTTTTTGCAACCAGGAAATCTGGACCAGGAAAACCAACGAAGTCTGAGATGAGAAATAGTTTTCCTAGAAGATCTTATCCCTTACATTTGTTTTTCCAAGAAGGCCATCTCCTACATTGTAGATCTTAAGGGAGTGTGCTGCTGCAGTTCAGCAGCAATATGTGTGGACAGATATTATCCTGGAGTTTCTTCTCTCTTGATAATCCTTCTCCTGACCACTCCTGCTCTGTCCCTCCCAATAGCCCCCGCTTCTCCTTTGACTGACCTGCTTTTTCTATCAGGTGATTTACTTGCCATAAACAGCCACTCCTCTCCCAGTCCATATAGGTGCAAAATCTAGCATTTGGACTTGTTAAATGTCATCCCATTAATCATTGCCCAATGCTCCAATTGATCTGTATCTCTCTGCAAGGCATCTTATCCCTCAAGAGGGTCAACAGCATCTCCCAGTTTTGGTATCATCAGTTAACTTGCTAATGCATTCAGCAACCCCTGCGTCTAGATCACTCATAAAAGTAGTGAACAGAACTGGCCCCAGGATTGAGCCCTGAGGAACACCACTGCTGCCCCCTCACCAGTCAGGTGTAGTCCCATTCACCACAACCCTTTCAGCTCTGCTTTCCAGCCAGTGCTTCACCCAATGCACTGTGAATCCCACAGTGCTCATCTCATAGCTGGACAACTTGTCCAGAAGGATTTTGTGAGGGACAGTATAAAAAGCCTTACCGAAATCCAGAAAGACTACATCCACCGCCTTCCCTTCCTCTACTGGGCAGAAGACCTTATCATAAAAGAATATCAAATTTGTTAAACAGGACTTTCTTTCCCTTGTGAACCGATGTGCTCATGCTCCAGGTAATTTAATCTGTCAGTCCTCAAACTGGGGGAGAAAATGCCATCTAAAACCTCACTACTGGACTTAGCAGAAGAGGTTTGTTTCTTTGCTTTTTGTGTTTACCATCTAGAAATTGTACTCACTTGTAACCCTCCTCAAACTCAGCACCAGCAGAGGAATGGGACTATGTTTTTTTTCTTCCATCCCCGTTATGGGAGAAGACCATCAGGGCAGGCTGGCAGAGCCGTAATGCCTTAAACTGTTGCAGCAGAAGCAACTAAATCTCATCTGCCAAAGGCCTTATTTACCTGGACAGTGCTGCTGTAATTGAGCACTGCTGCCTGCTTTGCGAGGCAGTGCTCACTTTGAATACCTCAGGTAGTCATGACAGAGCAGTTAAATCACGGGTTGGAGCAAGGGAATCCACACTGCTTTAGGCACACTTGTCTACAATTGCAAAGACTTATTAATATGCATTCAGTGCAGGAATCTGGATACACAAAAAGAACTACAGAACGAGTTCCCTTCTGGCTACCCAAAATAACGTGTATTGCTGAGTCACACCCTCCTCCAGCTGCTGATTGTGGTCTTCCTCACTACTTCCTGCCATATTAGAGCAATCCCGCAAGGGGCCATGAGAGAAGACCTGTACATAACCTAATGACATCCCTTTAAACTCCTTGTTGTTGGAGAGCATACTGGCCTTTTGTAAGAGCAGCTGCTGCCCTCTTAGAAGGTAGAACAACTTTCAGGACAACGTTCACAGAGTTGCAGGAAATAGGACTTTGGGGGTCATCCAGCCTATGCTCCTGTTCATCTAAACCATCCCAGAGAGCTGCTCACTGAAACTCTGCCTGGTTGCCTTTTGGTTCTGCAAAATGTCATGCTCTGGCAGGGAATCCTAATAGAAGTATTTGCATGGATTGTAGAGAGGCTTTGATAGAAGTTTTTCTGGACTGTCTGGTTGAATCAAACCAGCTGAACTTGCACTGTAGGATCTGGAACATGCAATGCAGAAAGGAGACTGTGCCTATTTCAGGAGAGAATCCCGTGTGAAAACTGTTTCATATAGCTTTTATATAGTTTAGAAGAAAAAAAAATCCCAAATTCTTGGAAAGACAGTCATTAACTCATGGGGTTTTGAGGTTTTGTTTACTATTTTGCATGAATCCTCAGTTCTCAGAATTTGTTATATAAAGGATATGTATAGATAGCTTCATAGAAGTTTGGAAAGAGCATCCAGTTTACAGACATGTAGTTTTCCTTTTAAAAAGAAAGGTAGAGTTTAATTTTTACCAATCTGAGATAGAAAAATTTGTTTTCTCAGTTCAAGACTCTGTATTAGAATTAGCAGTTTTCTCACACCTCCTCTTAAAAAAATTTAATTTTCTGTTTTTCTGCAAAGCGGGGGGGGGGGGGAGGGTGTGTTATAATGCATTTTTTTTCTGTGGACATAAGTATTCGGAAAAAGTAAGCAACTGCCTTGGTTTCATCAAAATGCACCTACTCTTCTGGGTGGAACTAACGCAGCTAACTGAGGTAGAAATATGGAAGTATTGGCAAATGAGATGAAAGCTACCATTTTAATGAAAAAAGTTTTTCCCAAATGTAGCTCTGTTTTTTCTTTTAATGAAAAATACGTAATCACTCTCAGCAGAAACTTCTGGTCTGATGAACATACCACACCTTTTTAAGTGAAAATATACATAATGTATATTTTCGAGAACCTGAAGAACCAGTTAGGAACTTCAGGGCCTATCCTGTTTATCCGTAGTTTAATGTAGAAAAAAAACCCTAATTCCTCAGCCTCTGCTGCCATCAGGTGGCCATGTACCATGTCTTACCAGTGCTAAAACACCTATCCTGTTAACCTGTTGACGCTGTATTTCTGCTGCTTTCTTTATGAGATTCATTATCCATAACATAATCCAATTTCTTCCTCAAATTTCAGAAATGTCATGAATAGTTGACATTGAAATGTCATGAATAACTGGCACTAATTTTCCCTTAGTTTCTGCAGATTACAGTATTTTTAAATGCCAGATAGTGAGCAAACTGTCATGCAGCACAGCAAACTGCTGTGGTGGGTTTGGTTTTCACTGTGCAACTGATATCCTCTATGACAAAAACTGTTAATATTAACCCACAGTGTCCATGCTGCTGTTTCTT